CCTACCTTCTCTTCACCCACTTTCTAAGGAAATTTATTTTTCTCTCACCTATCACCTCTATGCTAATAATTTTACATCTCAGCCCCCTATTTTAACTAAGCCTTGGTCTCCTTTTTCTAATGGCTCAGTACACTTCCAGTAAATGGGTTACTGTCATCTCAAGCTCAGTTTTATTCAAAACTCCATTTACTTTATTTTACAAAGCTGGTCCTTAATCAACATCCCTGTTTCTGTTAGTGGTAACATAATTACCTTAAAGAATATAAGTCTCTCAACCTATAAACCTGACACCAACCTATCTCTCAATACTTCTATTCCCGTATGCTTCAATCCAAGCACACTACACACTAGTAACTCACTCCTAACAAGCCTAAAGCCTATGAGGTAGGTACTATTTTGTCTTTATTTCACAAGAAAACGGACTTTGAAAGGGTGACTTTTCTGAAGCTATATCACGTGACCTGAGATCTGGGGTGTGAGATCCCAGAGACTATGCTCTTAACCACTATGCAACTACCCATTTACCCCCAGTTTACCAGTGAGTTCATCCAAGCTTAGAGAAGTAATTCACTTAACATTAGTCAGTGAGTACAGGCGACCAGATTCAAACCTAATCTTCTTTTGTTCTTGGCCCCCACATTAGGGTATCTCTCCACCGCATTTTGTTCCCATTCCAGACCCTAAACCACAATGGCAGCCATTACCAAAAGTGACTGTAAGTGGTAGTGACGTTAAGGGACATATGGGAAGAGCGTGGCAGCAGCAAAAGGTTCACAGCTCAAACAGAATAAAGAACGTGCATTTGGCCAATGTAAAGACAGACACACTTAACTTCTTGAATTAAGTGCACTTACCCTGTCCTGGGCACAGACTCACAATGCTCTGTGTGATTGTTAGGTGAACATCTACAATTTCCTGACCCACCCAGAGTCCTTAGAATTCAGTATTTGAGGTACTCTTAGGGCACACCAAAACTAATTTCCTAGGAAGAGAAAAGTATCTTCTGCTTCATTAATCATGCCAGATCTTCAAACTAGAGTGAAAGCTCCATTAGGACAAGAATCACACCTACTTTGGTTGCTGAGTTATATGCCCAAGCTGGCAATTTAAATAAGTCAGCCAAGAGTAGTCCATATCTTCCTAAAGGAGTGGTGCTGTTAAAATCAAAGGTAGTAGTAACGTCCTCAAAGTGTGGGCGCACCTTACCCCAAATGCTCTTCTGAGTGGGCCAAAGGATACCCTTTTTTCCCGAGGTAATACACTGACAGAATCTAGAGGAAATAAGCTAAGAATCAGCCCAAAGCTAGTCTTTTGACACACAGTTCATGGAAATTTACATCCTTACTTGTGTAACTATCATCAAGATTATATTCACAGGGCTTCTGGCTTTTCCAATGAAGAAAAAAAAAGCAATTTTATTTCTACATTAAACCTCATCTCATAAAATGCAGGGGTCTTGAAAAGTATTATTCCTCTAAGATAACAACTAAGACAACAAATTGCTTTTACATGTATAAGAACAATAAGTTCAGAATGGTGGTTACCTCCGGAAAGAGAGGAAGGGGATTGAGGAGGAAGACACAGAGGGCTTTAACTGAAACTGTGTTATAATTCTCAAGTTTAGAGTAATGGACTCCCAGGTGCTCACTGCATTATCTATAATTTTTGTACATTCCAAATGTTACTTATAAAAGTGATTCATCACTTGTCAATATACCAGAATTAACCATACTCTGATCACCCCCCTCTCTTATTTTATTGCCATATAATGGAATGAACTTTAAAGGAAGGAGGCTGGTGAACTAGAAGTAATTTAATGCAGAAGTCCTGTCCTCTTGGAACCAAAGGGGAACCTATTATTCACCTAAGAGTGGACTCAACAGAAGAGAGGTGACTTAATCCAACAAATATTTATTGAGCATCTACTAAGTGTCAGGTGCTAGCAATCCAATGTTATTAAGACAGATACTATTACTGCCCTTTACAGCTTGCAGTCTAGTGAAGGAACTGGGAATTTCATGCTAGAAATAAAAGTGAGAATAAGATACCCATTGAAGTGGTACAGTTAGTACCACCATCTCATAGGGAATAAAAAAAGGATTTATATAGGTTACAAGAAAACTATGACTTTAAAAAACGCTATTTTGTCACCCCATCTTTCCAAGAATAATTAGCAGTAAAATCCTTGTTCCAAAATGGACCTACAAGTTAGATTTCTAAGGGCAATAAGGTGGGGTGCCCTGAGGGAACAGCACCAAATCCTGCACAGAACTGCAACCAAATATCCCAAGGGATAAAATGAGTAGTGACAGCTACAGAAGAAATGAGGTAGAAACGCTGGAGCCAGCTGTGAAGTAGAAAAGAGAAGAGAAGTAGGGCAGGGTAGGGCAGGGCAGGGCATCTCAGGATGAATAATCAAAGGAAGCTTCTTGTGGGTTCTGAAATATGCTCCTCTCCTGTCCGAAACACAGTTTTCCCAGTTCCCACTTGCACAATTTCCTTTGAGAAATTATAAGGATGCTCAAAAAGCAGAAACACCCTTAAGTCTAAAAAAGGGAAAATTTCTTTAGGACGGTTTTGCTTTTACCTAGACTAGGCTTTCCATTTTGGAAATTCCAAATGAACTTATCCTCAAGTCTGATAACTTGTGAATGTTTAACTTCAGAATGGAGAGAACTTAAAGATCATTACTTCCAACACAAGATATATATATCTAAAACAAAAGCAGAAAACTTGGCTAAATACTGAACAAGTGTGTGTGTGTGGGGGGCGTTTAAAACCCGTAAAGGGATGGGGAAGGTTGTATCTCTAGAGCTGAATCTCAAAAATGCATCCAGGTTTCGCCCACTGTTTATAAGAGAGGAGGAGTCTCCACAATATGCAACAACTGTCCATAAAGAAACCCATGCAGGAGTACCTGATGGTTACTAAAGCAAGCATCACCCTCTAAAAGTTAAGAACTGCTTCCAGGTTTAACTCCCCTTGCCCGGGAAGGCCCAAAGCGCCCATTTGCGAAGCCCAGGCCACCCCAGGGGAGGTCGCCCCACCAGGTCCCCAATGCGCCCCGGTCACTGTGGCGCGAATCAGCAGCAAAAGCCCACATTCTCCCGCAGGAGGCCCTACAAAAATGGCGTCCGCTCCACCCCAACGTGACCAAACTGGGAGACAGGAGTAACTTTCCAGCTCCTCTCCCGAGCCCAGAATCCTGTCCGGAGCGCCCAGCCGCCTGCATACAGGACGGAGAGGAAGGTCACTGCGGCCTGGGCTATCCCGAAGACGCAAGCATGGCCGGGAGACCCGGCAGAGCGGAGCAGGGGTCCAGGCGGCATTACCCTTATTCTTGGGCATGGCGGGGACAGCGGCCTCGCAGCGGCTCCGACTCTTTTTCGGGCGGTGGCGACAGCAGCGACTCCTCCAAGGCGCGACGCGTGGAGCAGCGCGGCACCAAGCAGGCGAGAGCGGCCAGTCCGGTGAGCCGGCGAGTGCGGAGACAGACTTCTTCCGAGATCAGCCTCCACACACGCTCGGCCGCAGCAAATGGCGTCGCATCTGCTTGCGTAACTTCTCTCCGCCTCCAGCACCGCCTGGGCCCGCCCCCCTGTCTCTATTGCGCAGGCGTGGCCTCCTAACTCCTATTGTTAAAGCTGAGGGACACGCACCCCTGGAGCTTTCACTACACTCAGTTCGCAGAACACGTAGGGGCGGGGCCGCGAGCAAGGAGGAGGCGGAGTCAGGAAGGGAATGGGCGGGGCGCAGGCGTCCTAGGAAAGGGCGGGTTCAGGCAGCGCTCTCTGCTGGCTGAGAGCAGACTTCCGGCGCTTTGTGACAAACCAGCCTCTCTGGGTTTGAGCAACTGGCTCATCAACTGTAATCTCACATCTCACGCAGCCCTTTCACCCGACCTACCAGGTTGGGAGTCTGAGGGGAAGGGCAAGGCTTTCCTACCATCCTCATTACCAAAGCGTAATAGCTGCATGACACTTATTACTCTAGAAATGTCTTCCCTGCCTCACTGTAAACCTCATTAGGCTGAGACCACATCTGTTGCTTTACCATTACCAGCACTTAGCAGAATGTCTGGCACACAGTAGATATTCATTACAGGCAGGAAGGAAAAAAGGGAGGGAGGGGAGAAGACCTAAATTCAGTGTGTACTCCCAAAATTCATATGTTGAATTCCTAACCCCTAATACCTCAGAATATGACTTTATTTGGAGATAGGGTGTTTAAAGAGTTGGCACCTTGATCTTGAACAACCAGACTCCAGAACTGTGACAAAATAAATTTCTGCCAGTCTGGTATTTTGTTATGGCAGCCCTAGCAAACTAATACGCTATCATAACATTAAACTACTAAAAATGTCTACTGGGAAGGAAAGGGATAACTGCAGGCTTATAACCCATTCCCTCTCTATCAGCAATCAGTGACCTCAAATTTCCTTTTAAATGTTCTAATGATATTTACTAGTAAAAGAAAAAAGTCCTTCTCTCTAAAATGCTTTTAGCAAGATATGCTTAGTCTATAGAGATAGCTTCTTGTAAACTTGCAATTTATGGATTTATGAGGTATGGTTGGCTGGAGAATGGGGGCTCATCATTTAAATTGTGTAATTAACAAGGCATCAAAAGGAAGTTTGCAAAACCAAATGACTCCCTTTGTTTAAACAAAGTCTCCGCATACATCTCACAGAAGGAAACTTGTTCTTTAATTCTGAATCAATCCAAAATGTACCATAATGAGGGATAAAAAGGTTGTTTTGGAGCTAAATCTAATAATCTTGGACTTCTCAGGAAAGATTCTCATGTGTGCCAGGTGATTACCCTGTATCCTTTGAATGATTAATCACGTTTGGTATTGGGTAAGATCTATGACTGATGTGAGTCTGATTTGACAAACTTATTAGGCTAACCAAAACTTTGCATGGAGAAATTAATCTGTACTTCTTAACTCAGAAACATTCCTGTTTTAAGTTCTACCAATCCAATTTGATAAATTTGTACTTTGGATAGAATAATTTGATAATATGAAGGACTAATCATCATGTAATCGAAATAATCTGATAAAGGAGCATATGTGCATTTATTTGAAACTTTATTATATAAATTTTCATTTCTTTTAAAGATTACAAAACCTGTTCTGTGACAGGAATACAAGCAATATTGTTCCAGGATTATTCATGGATACATCTGAAAGAGCTTAGATTACACATTAATAGTATGATTTGAAAACTTCCCAGATTATACTCTTAAACAATTTAAGTATTCATTGATATTTAATCCTTTACAAGCATTTCATAATTACGGCAGCAGTGCCAAGCATCTGATACGATTTAACCACCAATAAAAGGTACAATACATATGAACTCATGATATGGTACCTTGGGCTTCTGGCATGCCTTACTAGAGAGAAACTAGTATAAAGTAAGATCATATATAATAGTAGAAAAATACTTGATTTTTTTCTTTTTTAAAAACCTTTTAAGTAGATGCCCACCCCATTCCCACCCATGGCCAAAAATGCAAAATAATTACATCCCTCAGGTGTATACTTTCCCTTCTGCGTAGGGTAACAGTTAAGGTAAACCTAATACATGTACATAACTTTAAGAATTAAAAACTCATCACCCATAATTATTAAGGATGCTAAGAAATAGCAATACCTTGAAGCATTTTTTGATTAAAAAACAAAGCTTTAGATGGAACACTACACTTACAAGAACACAAACTCAAACCTTTATCCTTATATGCCCTTGCTTTGTATTTAAAAGTTCTACTTTAAATACTTGTTTGAAAAACTCAGTATACAGTTCATTCAGTACTATAGTGATAATAGGAGTAAAGATTTTCACTTCCATTAGATATTGAACTAATCTACTTAGAGGACTACTATAGCAACTCTCTTCTCACATACACTTATGTATACTGTACTCAAATGGTATGTGCTCTAAAGAGGTTTCTTTGAGGTTTGCACCTCTGAACTTAGTCTCTAAACTTTCCTTTCCACTAGTCTCTATTCGATGTCATATATTTTGCTAGTTGCTCTGGGAGAAGTCATGGACATTTAAACAGCTTATCATGCACTTCAAGGTTACATGGAAAAATAATGAGGACAGTGCCTTAAGAGGTAGGAAGTAGGCTCTTATCCCAACCCTTGGTATGCCCTGTTATGAACAGTTAAAAGACTGGAATCAAAGTGGTAAATGTGAGACTAATAGTAAATACAAGGCTTAAGAAAATTAAGTCAACTTAGTTACTAGAATTCTTTGAGAACACTCACATTGGAACCAGTTACAAGTCGCTCAATCACACAGAATACAGCAGTGTCAAAAATACAGAAAGAGCCCTGTAGATATAAATTCTTCTTGGCCATCCACACTTAGGTATTATCATTCTGTAGATTCTTCACTAGAAAAAGTGGTTAAGCATGGCTCTGCAGAATACCACAGTCCCAAGAAAGTGAATTTCATTCCTTCATTAATTGGTCTCCACCAATGGTCACTTGGGGAGACCAGCAAAATGTAAGCAATCTGGAGGTGAAAAGAGGATGATTTTCATTTATTGAAATAAAAATATGGAGTTAAGTCAACCTCTCTGTGAATTAAATAAGGCTCAAAGTATACATCCAGTTTGTTAGTCACATGGAGTTAGACCTTTCGGAGGGATAGACTCTAGAACTAGACTGGAACCTCCTGGTTTAAGCACCAACGGTCAGCCATGAAACCTATCAAATTTGTTAATCAGAGAAAACAGACCTTTCTTACCCTTTACATTCCTGAGATATCTGTCCTAATGTCTTCATAAATCTCAAGTGCTCAATACCATCATGAGAGAGAATTTTCTCTATGAAATATAAAGGAAACTGAAATATTTCATGACATTTATAAAGGCCAGGAAGTAGAGAATATCAAAGCTATGTTGAGATGTGTACTGCTGGCTGGCTATCATGGTGATGAAGTATCTGTACCATGGCCCCCAAATCTTGAATGTTTTTCTGCTCTCATCTCAGGCTGGACCTACCCCAGCCCCTTTCCTACCCAAACTATTCTGCCTATTCGTGAAGCCTTTGCACACCTCCCCCTTCAAGTCTTTTCTGGTCCAAGGGTACAGGGCACAACTAACAGCTAACAGGCCAACCTCACCTCCCATGATGTCCCCTGGCCCCAACAGCACCACTTCTTAGACACAGATGGGAAACGGTTGACCCAAACCTGCTCCTTGCAGCCCACCACATGTGAAATGTGGAATCTCTGCCTTTCACACACCACACACACCCTCTCCAGACACTGGCTAAGTTAACTTTTCCCACCTGTCAGCTTCACAGAATCTCAACTCTGCCTTGTCAAAATTATTACATTTTTGGACTTTTGGGGTTGCTTGTGAATAAATGAATCCATATAAAATCTGTTAAAGACAAGGGTCTAATGGACTTAGAAAGAAGACATCATCTCTGTAAATTAGAGAGCAGAAATAATTTATATAAAAAATTAAAAAGGACAAAAAACTTACCTTAGTTTAACATCACTTGCAAGGGAAGATACAAAACACATGGTAGTATAATCTGTATTTTCCAGTATGTGCTCGGCAATGCTAAATGCAATCTACCATTTAGGATATTATTTTGGATTATAAGCTAAGAGGAGGTTTGTGAAAGTGGCCTGAGAGTTTAGTTCCTTCTTTCACATTGAAGTATCTTTAAGACTGAACTAATACCTCCTGGGAGAAGCCCTGGTAACCAGCAACACTAACTGGTAAAGGGCCTCACTACCACAACTATAGGGGCCTGGAGGAATTGGACATGAAATTAATGGAAAGGTTAACCCAGCACAAGCACTACATTGAGACACACTGTTGGCCAAGTCTGTCCGTTGTAAGTCAAAGGCAATAGGAACACCAGAACCACAGATAAAATAAATGATGCTTATGAACTGCATTTTAGGCAGAAAGCCTTGTTTTGTGAACATATAACCTGCTTTTCTCCAATAAAACTGGCAGTTGGACTAGGCAAAGAAGGCAATTATCTTTGAAAGCAATAAACTTGGCATTCATACACCAGTAGAGGAGTGCCTCAAGAAATATGTAGTTTTTGAACACCTCAGTTCCTGGTTGGCTGATAATCTGAAGGGAAGGCAGCATGGTGTTATGGGGAGAAAAACTGAATGGGAAATTAAGGATTCTAGTCTTTGCTTTGGGTCATAGGTTTCTTACATGCAATATGAAAAAGTTGTACTAGATGACTTATAAGGATTTACACATTCACTTCTGGTTCTAAAAGACTACAATGGAAAATATACCTAAGCAACTATGGAATAGCGTCAGTGTCAAAATCTGAAAATATATGCCCAGAGTTATAGTAACATCTTAAAAATGACAAGAATTTGGGATGAGCGTGGTTTAAAACACTGAATAAAAAGGAAAAAAAGAGCTTTCTTTCCAGGCAATGAAAAGCATCCATATATTCAAGAATTTAAAAAACCTTCTCCATCTGGATCTTCTGAAATCCCTCCTCTTATACATTTTTTTAGAAGATAAACTTACATTTCATTTCTAAGCAAGAATCATTTTGCGTCACTTAGGCAAAAGGAATGTTATAGATTTTCCCTCTCTCTTTAATTGCATAGAGGAGAAATTAAGGAATAGCAAGTGGCTTCCAAGACAGACAAACCATGCTTTCTTGGCTTTGTACTCTCAAGGGAAAGATTTAAAGCTTCTGGCAGGAAAAAATATTTCTGATGTAAATGGCTTAGTACATGATGAAGGAAGATCTGTTTAGGGACATTCTTGATGAAGTAAGTTAAATCACTCTTTCTTTACTCATGTGTTTTTCATATTACATATTGGTGTATGGTAGGTAACTTGGCAAAGATACAGGTCATAATGAATACAGAAATTTCTTTAATCAAATGAAATTACGGAAACCACCACATTAGATGTAGATAATGAATACTGTAATCTAAGCAGACTCAGTGACCATTATGAAAACTGATCATATCTGAAGTTAAAGGAAGTATTACATGGCTATAAATCATCAGGAGGAATTCAGAAAACACTCAATACTAGACATTCCGTTAACCTACCTTAGCTATGATTTCAGGTTAGAACAGATATTGTTTGATCAAGAATGTTTTATTCCCTAGAATAAGAAAGTTTAATCCAATTTTATATAGAGGCCTGTGGCTTTTACACACTCAAATTAGTGTTTAATACAAGAACAGGTATCCTGTTACTTATATGCTAAATTCTGCAATTTGATCAATTTAAACATGAAATATCCAATGGGACTTGAATGGCCTATTGCTAAAATTTCCTTTGCCAATTTCTTCACCATGACTCTCAAAGGCCTTTGATGTATATTGGCAAAATTCCAAATTATATGCCAATACTAAGTATGGACACTATTTAAGATTAAAAGTGCAACAACTACTTCCTTAATTCAAAAAAAAGAACCTAAAGAGTTGCAAAGTATATGAACTCTTGATGTCATGCCACAGACATATAACTTTCTCTATCGTAACAGCTCTCTAGGTTAGTCTGACAGAGCACCCGACTTTAAGTAACAAACGAACGAACAAACCAGTGAAACAGACATGGGGAAAGATATGTACATTTTGAAAGTATTACATTCAACAGCTGTTCCACAATCCGGCCATTTTTAGGGCTGTCCAACAATACTGTTAATCCAGGTGAACTATTTAACCAGATTTAATAGTCAATTGGTTAATAATAATAGATCCCAAGTTAAACAAGGCATGTATACATTAAAGAAAGCAGTACAGAAATGTACTGTGTATGAACTGTTTACAAAAACATACAAAATGTTGGATGGCACAAAGGATACAGTGCTAATATAAACGGATTGTTTAAGCTAAGTGCTTAACATAAACTGTCCATCCCTATAACTAACAAAGAATATTTAAGGGACATGAAATATTTCCTATAAAAATAATGCTATATGGTGTAGAGTACTTTATTCAGTGTATTTTAGGTGGTATTCATATGTTCATTCTTCTTCTTCTTGATTCAGTGAATGTATCTTCATCATGTTTCCATTTTCATTTCACCCGAAGCTCCAGGAAAATCTAACTTGCTAACAATCATGTAAAGCGAGAAGAGATGAAAGCGGGAGCAGCAGCAGGAGCAGCAGCATTATGGGTACCAGCTGGGACAGTGTGTGCTTGCAGGTGTCTCTCAGATATGTGCTACCTGTCGCCAGAACTTGTGCTATCAACTTACACCATGGTACCAAATATTTCACTGAGGTCACTTCACAGGGCTGTGGAGGTGATTTTTTTAATACCTCTACGCTGAGCAAGAGTAGAGCGGCCTACTGGTTCCAAAACTGGTGACTGATTACGGTTTAAAGCAGAATATGTAGCTGCCATGGCACCCTGAAAACAGGAAAGAAATGTCAAAACAAAAATGACAATGGGTAGTCATGTACACAGAACATGAAATGAACATTTTCCCCCCCAGATAATTTCTTCACTAGCAAACTTACATAGATTTTATTAGGCTTATAATGAAAATAACCACACTGGCCAAATCCTCTGATTTAACTACAATTGAAGAGGCCAGTGTAGGAGGAGGTTGAAATGATGGATGAGAGGACAGGGATGGGCCCATAACAAGCAGTCCTCACTTTTCTCAGGACCATTCAACTTTTTTCCTTTGCAATTTTTAATTTCAGAGGCAGCAAATCATGCTCTTTTGGAATTTGTAGTTTGCTCTGGGTTGTGCATAAGAGATTAAAGTATAAAGAAAATAGGAAATCCATAAGCTTATCTGATGGATAAATTCAGAAATTTAGAAGTCATTCTTAAACAAGACTTATTACAATACTTCGGCACAGCCTGACTTTTTCTTTTCTAAATCACCCATTGTAAGAGAATCCCACAGGAGAACCGAACGCAGGCTGAGGGACAGTGAAAGGTGCAGGTGCTGTGATGTGGAGAGGGCATCTCATAGTCTCTCTTGGAGGATTTGTGGGAAAAAAGGGCCTGAATGGGGCTCCTCACCTTGACCAGATGTGGTGCGTCCTGTCTGTTTAGCTGGTATTGTGGCAGTTGGTCCCAGTGGACTATCCAAGGGTGTCTGAGCACAAGGGCAGCAGTCAATCTCTGATGAGGGTCCACATGAAGCATCTTTGACACCAGGTCCTATAATGGGAAGAATAATAATAAAGCAAGCGTAAACCTTTTTGTTTGATTTTATAGCACTAGATACTGTTGAGATTTTTCCTAATTATGACAATATTTTTTCCTGATAGTAGGTAGACCTTGGGGCTTAAAGTGATAGGGGGAGGGGTATGTAATATGAATAGGACCACAGTTGTTTAATGATTACTCACCTAACTATAGATAAGAGGTTTTTGTTTTGTTTTGTTTTGTTTTGTTTTTTTCACAGACCCTGGGAAACTGGAAGATATGTTGCAAAAAGAAAATACACTTTAGCAGACCAAGGACAGGACATGCTTTGACTTGGTTGCTGTGCCTGGATCTTGACTTCCCCTCCAGGAGTTTGCCTCAGGAACGCTGACCATTCTCCTGTCCCAGGAACAGGCTGAGCTGTTTGTAACATCATAGAAGATTAGCCACCTTGTTATCGGACTTCATGCTCCTGAAGGCCGGACTACAGACCCTCCACTCCCCTTTTCTGTTACACTAGGAGCTGCATGTAGCTATCTTCCCTCTTCCCTATATCATCAGCCAGCTGGCAGAAAAAGGCAGAGCAAAATTTTCAGGATGGCCTGCTCTCCCCATACTGCCATCATTACTGGAATAAATGTTCACATATGATTTAACCCTGTCTCTGCTTAATTTGGCTCAAGTAGTAACAGGCGGCCTCGGACATGGTCCAGTATCAAAAGCAATTATTTGGTCAACATGACAATTTGTTTTGTGTGTGTGTTTTTTGTTTTGTTTTTTAAAAAGCAAAAACTTAATCTCTCCTCCCTGAGTAACAGTAATTTTCGTGCATTACAAATGGTGAATTACCATATTTTATGTATCTTTTGGGTTTTTTGGGCTCTTTTTTTAACCTTAGATATTCTGAGGTTTCCACATTTTTGGAGATTTACTTGTAAGTAATTTTTAGCCACTTAAGACTCTTTTGTGCTGCTAGTAATACTGAAAAGCAGAACTATCCAATAATAGGAACTTAATTAAGAGAGTTCTAAATGCCCCTCCTAAGATTACAGAATTCTGTTTTGTTCTACTTCAAAAGCAACTCATGGGCATTATAGAAAAATCAGAAATGCAGAGAAGCAAAAGAATAGAAAGAATACCCAGAATCCTACTCTTTCGGGGACAAATGCTTCCTATCTATCCAAATGCTTTCCTATGCATGAAACATGGATCCATATAATTACTATATAGTAGTTTTATACGCTCCAAAATAACACAATTGTGATTTATAAAAGCCATGTACCACTTGTTTATATATCCTATAGAATTCAAGTTTTAACCTATATGAAGCTCACAGGCACTGGGGGGAAGTTCTCCTATCAGTATAGCTCAGGGCAGCACGACTTCCCTCAGCATGTTTATGGGACAAGTAATTTGCTGTTCATCATCCTCTGTGTTACTAGTTCTTAGCGCACGTCGGAACAGCCACTGCAGGCACAGCATGTGTTAAAACTGTTGCAGAAAGTCAGGCCACAGGACAATCACCATGCGTGGGATGCGGTGTGATCAAGTGCTAATAATTCACTGAACACTGTTTATGAGCAGTGACTCTTGGATTGAAATATGTACACTATCGTTGAAGATATGTAATATTTATTTATGTTGGTGAAATTAATACAGTGTTTTTTGTTTGTTTGTTTTTAATATATCTTTATTGATTTCAGAGAGAGGAAAGGAGAGGGAGAGAGAGAGAGAGAGAGAAACATCAATGATGAGAAAGTCATAGATCGAGCCCACAATCTGGGCATGTGCCCTGACCGGGAATCGAACCTGGATAGCCTGGATCCCAGGTCGCCGCTCAACCGCTGAGCCACGCCCAGCCGGGCTAATACAGTGTTTTTTTCCAACATATGGCCTATTCGCTAAAATTTGTTAAAAATAACAGTGAATTAATAACAGAAAAATCTGTTAATTTAATTATTAACAGATAATAATTAAATCTTGGTTAAAAGCATTTAAAAATTAACAGGGTGTGAATTTTCACATGTGACAAATGGACTGGAAATTTTGTCCATTAAATCTGAAGTCTGTTAAATCGAGGTCTGCGAAGTGGATGGTTTACTGTAATAATGTGGCATTTATAAGAACAGGCTGTAAAATGGATGAAATTTTTGTGTGCTCTATTTGTATCTCCTCCTCACCTGTGTTTCTCTTTCACTCAAAAAAGGACACTGGAATGCAAATGAATGAAACCAAATTACAGAAATTAGAGAGACAGCCTTGACTTGCTTTAACTTATTAAAAAGCAGGCAATGTCTAAGCCCTAATACTTTATTTGGTAACATTACTTGATATGCCCACAACTGACCATGGCAAAGTTTGTGGCAAACTACACGGATAAAAATTCCTGCTACACAAAGTTAACTTAAAAAAGGAAAATCTGATCACTATAATGCTTAATATTTTTCAATAGTTCCCCAATACCTAGAGTGAACCCCCAAATCCTGAGAATGACCTACAAACCCTTTCATAATCTGGGTTCATCAGCTACCCTCTTACATGCACCCTGTACTCGTCATATCAAACTACTCACAGCTCCCTGGAGACATTCTGCCCTTCCTATGCCATCATGAGCACAAGCAGCATGTGCTGATCCCTCAGCGTGAGATGGACTACAGCCTTCTGTTCCGCAAAGCTACCTGGAAAATCCCTTCATTGCTTCTGGACCTTTTTCCCTGAAATCTTTCTGACCAAGCATCTTTAGCACAGAAAATGTACCACTGTAACAGCACACGTGACACTAGTTGGCCATTTCCCAACTAGATTGTGAGCTCCCTGAGATCAGGATTCTGAGTCATATCTTATCTATGGAGCCTTCATTTATTAAGTACACTGCAGTTGCTCAATACATGAATTAAAAAGGAAACAAATACGCAGAAAAATGAATTATCTGGTTTAAGAAATTTTATTGTTAAAAAGGAAAAGGCTAACATTTCATTTTAAATGCAGATGTAAAAGCAAATCAACTCGTTTCCACCTCTAAGAAAAATCAGCAAGCACTTTTACCAGTATGTCTCTTCTTCATCTCTTCTATATTTTTCTTATTTTGAAGTGGAAAAAAGAATTTTCAATGAATAGAGTGAAACTAGAGCAGAGGTGGAAACCAAGCCAGTGTTATTCAGGGGAGGGCAGACCTTTCAATGAGAAAGGCTTTTCAAATGGATTTCAAGTTGACACTATAAAACTATACTACTGTTTATTGTGAAATAGATAAGACCCCTTTCTTTATAATACAGACCGAAAACAGAACATGGTACAATTATTCTAGGGATTGAGAGCTCTGGAATCAGCTATTTACTTTGAAGCACCCACATGTATCTGGTGTGTAACTATGGACAAGTTCATACTAAAATTCTGTGCCTTGGTTTCCTTCTGTCAAATGGGGATACTACCACCTATTTTAAAGGGTTGATTAGAGGATTAAATGGATAATTTAGGTGAAGTGTAGCATGAAGCACAGAGTAGATATACAAATCATGAAGACTGCTACTATTAGTATTTATCATGTTCCTCAGCAAGAAGTAACTTTAGATGTATAGATAACAAAGCCAAATCAATTCCTTTTGAGAAAGAACCAAAATAATCGGTGCATTTTTGAGTTCAAGTTATTTGGTAACATCACTTCAAAATACTACTTTATGAACAAGTTTCTAATTGATATTATTTATTCTCACCAAGGATTATGAAAAATTACCTTTGCTGTGTCGGAAACAGAATTCCAATAACCACCACTGAGTGAGAATTTTCCGCTGCCGATGCGTGCCAATATTTCCTCTGGTGTATCATCAGGGCCATTTGCAAATGGAGTGTAACTAATTCATAATAAAATTAAAATGTTAATGAATAAAATGTCTCTTTTGGTTGGTAATCTTTATATTTATCTGCAGTATCGAAAAGTACTCTTGAGTAATTCAATTAATGTAATACTTTATTTAAAGTGAAAACTATCAACAATGTGAAGCTCCACAAATGAAATATTAAACTTAATATACAAAAATATAAATACTTTAAGATATGACACATTACAGAATAAAATATTTAAAATAGTGCATGTTTATGACATAAGAGTGAAAAAAGGTATGGAAAGATCAATTTAAGACTTCAAGACATTAATAAATAGTACATTATAGAAAATTAGTAATGACACAGCTATAAATGTGGTATATATATATATACACACAGAATTGTATTAGAAAACGAGAAACCATGAAAAGATATTACAAAAAAGATTAAAAAAACCCCTAGATAATATAAACAAAATATTGATTAATAAATGCTTACAAAATATATAATATACACTTACCCAGTAAGCATTGTATAGAGGAGGACACCAAGACTCCATATATCACAAGCAGCATCATAGCCTTGTCGTTTCAAAACCTAGAAAAAGTAAAAATTAGTATTAACATACCACTGTTTATTAGATAGATTTAGATAAGTTGTGGGAATGGAATTATATCTCCTAAATCAATATATATAAGAGAAACCTCAAGCCCTGGCCGGGTGGCTCAGCTGGTTAGAGCATTGTCAGGATATACCAAGATTGCTGGTTCGATCTCCGGTTAGGGCACATAAAAGAGGCAACCAATGAATGCATACATAAGTGGAACAACAAATCAATGTCTTTCTGTCTGTCTGTCTATCTTTCTCCTCCCTCTCCCTTCCTCCCTCTCTCTCTCAAATCAATAAATTTGTTGCTCAGTGGTTAGAGCGTCAGGCCTCACACCGAAGGGTCGCGGGTTTGATGTCTGGTCAAGGACTCATGCCTGGGTTGAAAGTTCAATCCCCGGCCCTGGTTGGGGGTGTGTGTAGGAGGCAACCAATCATTGTGTCTCTCTCTCACATTGATGTTTCTGTTTCCCTCCCTCCCTTCCACTCTCTCAAAAAATCAATGGAAAAAATATCCTTGGGTGAGGATTAACAAAAAAAATAAGGAAAGGAAAGCCTCAACTGAACATGATTAACAAACAAGACAATACATTAATCCCATTCTAGAACCTTCTACTACTAACAATTCATTTATATCCATAAAACTGTTGCTATCTGAATTAACATTTACTGAATGCTGTCTTGGCACAGAGGACTATGAAAGTAAGTTTCTTATTTAAGTGAATGTATATTTTATATGGGACTGCAGAAACAGTTACATAAAATAGTACTTTTAAGAACACATACAACAGTACAAATGATATAGTGTAAAACTGTACTTTTTATATCTACATAATTTGATTTATTCAAGCATTTAATAATCACCAATATAATCAGGCATGAACTGTGACAAATACAAAACAACTCTGGTTTCCTTAAGAAAATCAGTATCTGGCAGGGGACATAAACATATAGGGTGGGGCAAAAGTAGGTTTACAGTTGTTCATATAGCAAATAATACTATAATTAATAAATAATAATACAAGAATAAACTCTGTTTCACATACAACTATAAACCTACTTTTGTCCCACCCTGTATATGTAGTTAACAATTCAACATAAGTATCATAAAATTATGTCTAAAGTGCTATGGTTATAAAGATGAGGAAGCAATTCATTCTTGATATGAGGAAAGAAGGAAGGCTAGGGGATAGCCTGCTTGTTCTGTGCCTGTAAGTAGAATTCAGGAGGCAAAGGGAGGAGGCGGGGGAGGGCAGATGACACTCAAAGGGCAGAGACAAGAGAGAAGAGCATAGTTAGCGACAGTTCTGTATGGCTAGATCTCCAGGTAGGGCATACCAGAGAGACTGAAGGGCTTTTATACATATGTTGTTAAAAATTTTAGATTTTTTTCTCTAGGCAATCAGATGTCATTGAAGCATTAGACAGGAAAATAAAATAAGATCTGTATACCAGAAACATAACTCAAGGTATAGAAGAAATGCTGGCAGGATCAGATACTGGAGACAATGCCACCCAATAGGAAGCAATTTGTAGCAAACTAAGTCAAAGGCTATGAAGACCTGCACTGTAGAGGCTGGATATATAGGGTAAGGGGAAAAGGGTCTAAAATATTTAGGGAACAAAATGGAAAGGATTTGGTGACAGACTGAATGTAGAAAAATGATAGGGAGGATTTGAGGAAGACTTCCAAATTTTAACTTGGATGACTAAATGGAGAACAGGAGACAAAGAATTAAAAGATCAGGTCTAAGGAGAGTTTAATCATGGAAGATATCCTGAAGAAGATAAATTTGGAGGCAGGTTTTGAAGCAAAAACATACCAATGGGCCAAGGCATAACAGCTACAGGGTGATTTCTAGAAGCAAATTCCTTGCATGCAGTAGGAAATACTCAAGAGGGAAGATGAGATGGCTATAGTAAGTGGCCACATTTGGACACCAATGTGTCAGAGGCTGAGGATATGTGGACAAACAAGCAAAAAAATCTGTCCCTTACCAGTTCTAGTACCACTGGGAGAACAGATGCAAGTAGTCGTATAAAAAATATTTTATACCTCAAAAGTAACAAAATTACAAAAAAGTTTAAAAAATAAAGGGGAAATTCAACTCTATAATCCAACTACCCTAACATTACCAACTATTATTGTTTTTGTGAAAAATCACTGCATGATACAAGTACAGACTTTGCAGCCAGATGGTCTGGGCTCAAATCTAGGCTTGACCTCAGAAAAATTACATAACCTCTCACTGTGTACCTGGTTTCCTGTAAAATGCTAATAAAAGCACTCACCTCACATAGTTATAATGAGAATGAATTATTATATGTAAACTACATGTTGTGAGGATGAAATCAGTTACTATATGTGCCTGGCACATAAGCCCCATATCAAGGTTTACTATTACTTTCTATTATCTTGTTCATAGTTACTTATTTTTTACACAGTGATAAAAACGTAAAAAATCTTGAGGGCAAAGCAGTGGATTTGAGATTTACTACAATGGGGAACTGCAATTTCTTAAGGAAAGAAGCAATTTGATCAAAGCAGTGATTGAAGAAGACTTTAGTAGCTTTCTGGCTCTCTTGTGGAATGACCAATGACAGCAGAATGACAAGAGGGAGTAATGTGCACCTGGGCTGTGGCAGTCACCTGCGGGGTGGTGAGAGAAGCGGGGGCTAGGATGGCGGTTCCATGAACAAAAGAACCCTGACATGGTTTTTGGGGATAAGAGATGGTAACTAGTTATGTAGCTAAAGCCAAGAAGAGACCATGATGTGTTAGCCTCGAACATACAGAAAGATAGTGACAAAACCAGGGAATTAGAAGGATATTAGGAAAAGTAGAAAATAAGCTAGTTTCCATTTAATTCTATGCACTTATGAACACAAAAGTGATAGTAGACATCTACAGATGTCTGATTATACAGAAAGAAGTCAGGGCAGGAAGAAGATTGTAGGTAGTGGTGGACTGATGACAGAATGAACTATCAACAGAAGAAAAAGGGTCACTATTTTATTCTAATTATTTGTTCATTAATTCTTCAATTAGAGATTAATTATTCTACATTAAACACAGAAAATAAGTTTTTAAATATACTAAAATACTGCAAGCAAACTATTTCATAATTACCTCTGGTGCAACAAAATTTGCAGTATAACAAGGTGTCATGAGAAGACCATTTTCTGCTCTTAGCTGCTTGGCAAAGCCAAAATCACAAATTCGAATCGATTCTGGATTGCCAGATTCATCCACATAAAGAATGTTGCTAGGTTTCAAGTCTCTGTGAACCACCTAAATAAAACACAAAGTAAAGAGGTACATTTACAATACATTTCCACTATAGAGAATTCTTTATTCAAAACTGTCAGGCAATGCACTTAACAAAATAATGAATGCTGACTTTTAAATTATCCCAACATTATAAAATGCTGATAATGTAAATGTAACTTAACACAGAACTGGAGCAAAGAGAGAGGGAAGAAAGAGTAGTATTTACTTCCCCCTCTTTGTCCAACTGAGTAAGTAGGTTAAGGAGAAATGCAAATAGCAATAGTGTCTGCCTCCAGATTATTCATTCATTAAACAAATATTTATTGAATGCCATGTGCCAGGGTATTATACATGGAGCTGCACATACTGTGGTGAACAAGACCCACAAGACCCTTGCCTTTACATGCTAGGAGCTTACATGGTAGTGGGGAGGCAGAGAATAAACAGGTGAGAGATGGGGCGCAACTAGGGAGGTCAGGGAGAGGCCCTAGAGGAGGTAACATCTGTTCTAAGAGCTTCAGAACAGAATGAACAAGCCAGGACAGTGGGGCACAGTCATTCTCAGTAGAGGGAACAAACAGCATGTACAATGCTTGTACACAGCGAACTTGTGCTGACAGACTCAATGGATCAGGCACGGGGTTTAGGAGTAAAAAGGAAAAAAAATCCAGACTTTATGTATTCGCTATTTGATACCCATGCAACACTGTCACACACACACAAAGATACCATTCCTTTAGAGTTTTGTATTATTTTCCCCCTTTAATCACCTACTTGAATACTTCTTTTATCATAAGCCTCTCTGACTCTCCTTGCTAGACTTATGTGTTTCTTTCATCATCAAATTCTGAGTCTATATTCTGATCAATCACCTCAGTTTTAGTTCCCAGCATCCCAAACATGACTTCTCCTGGCTACAGTACTAGGTGACTCTTGACCAGCAGGAAGTCAAGAAGCTCTAGTATTAAATCAAAACCATCCAAGTGTTAACTTCTAGGGGGCGGAGACAAACAAAAGGAAAAGAAACTCCTTAAGGAGCAATCTATTTTTTTCTTGCTTCCAATTCCTCTTCACCTCTGCTGTTCTCCTTTCCTCTCTCCCTCCCCTCGTTTTCTCCTTTGCCCTTGTTCCCCCACCACATTTCCCTTCTTTTACAAACATGATTTTTATGCTATTTACTAATAACCTGCAGGAGGAAATGGGGAGAGCATCCACCAGCCAAAAGCCAGGTGACTATTTGGCCTCATATGTTTGAAGGATTTCCTTTTATGAGTGAACACAACCCATGATTCTCTGGTTCTGTTTCGAAACTTGAAATAGGCCCATTTCTCAAGAGTACAGAGCGGCACAGCAAAACAATGCTATGTCTTCTAGTTCAGAGCATCTCATCCACTTTTTCTTGGGAAGCATAAGAATTTAATATAAACAAGCTAGGATTTCAAAGCAACACTTCAAGCTTAATGAGAGAAGTTTATGTATAGGAGAATAGCAGAATTAAGCTAATAGCAGTTATTTCCCATTACATGCATAAAGTAACTTCTTCTACCTTTGTAATTTTAGCTCAAACATGAAGAAAAGAACAAAGGTATTTATGTGTATGTATGTATACATGTACATATATATATTTATAATATTTATATACATAACACGTTAAAAAGACTTACCCCTTGAGCGTGAAGATATTCAACAGTTTTGGTTATAGTAAACAGGACAGCGCTGGCCTCTCGTTCAGAGAAAAATTTCTGTCTAAGTATTTTATCCAGCAATTCACCCCCTTTCATAAGTTCTGTCACTACATACACATATTTTCCATCATCGTATACCTATAAAATTCAACACCAAAATGTAAAAAAATTATTTGAAGCTTTACATGTGCTCAGAACAAAGTTTTACGTATTAAAGATAAATTAAAACTTACTTTATATCCAAGGAAAACTTTACTTATCACAACTAATGGAGGATATAAATCTTGCAAACCATTTATACACATAAGAATATTAAAATAGGAATTGATGAGATCAAATGTCAGAAAAACCACCTGTAATTTCCTTCTGTGAAACTTAATTCATGGAAATCAAAGTAACTATGGGCATTGTATACAAAAGGACACTGAACTTTTGCATTTAGGGTTTGTTCCTCTTGATCTTTCTATCTACTGCTGAGGGCAGGGACTGCTACAAAGACATACTCCTGTGATTTTCCTGGAACTTCTGCAAGTGCAGAAATTCTGCATTTATATATATAGGACAATGAATTATTCTAGTTTTGGTTAAACCGAAAGTCAAGTTGTGGCAAGAATTAAGTAGGAAGATTAAGTAGCAAAGAGAAATTCTATCCAACCACCCAGAAGCACGCCAGTTTACTCCTAATGTAGAAATAGAATGCTTACTGTAATTTTGGATTTATAGTCCTGGCAATTCTGAACTGAAATAACCCCTTTATTAAACTTTGGTCCCTTTTACTCCCCCTTCACCATGGTTACTACACACCTTTAATTAGCTTCAGAAAAGGCACCATGTACTGGGGCCCCAAATATGGAAAAAACAAGGCACCTGCCCTCAAACTTTTTATTCCAGTAGGGAGAAACAGACAAAGATATAAGAATTTTTAAAATGCTGGAGGTGTTGTAACAAAAGGGGAAAGTTTTAAAGACTTTGGAATTTGAAATTAGGAATGGATCAAAAAAAAAAAAATGACAACAGTGCCTTGGCTGGGTGGCTCAGTTGGTTGGAGCATCATCCTGGGTACCAAAAGGTTTCAGGTTTGATTCTTGATCAGGGCACACATATCTAGGTTGCCGGTTTGATTCCCAGTCAGGGTGCATACAGGAGGCAACCAATCGATGTTTCTCTCTCTCTCTAAAGAAAAAAAAAAAATCAATAAAAAAAAAATATCCTTGGGTAAGGTTTAAAAAAAAATGACGACAGCTCAGGGAGTTTCCAAGGCAAGGATGCGAGACGTATTTTCTATACTTCCTTTTTTTTCCTTTTTTTTAAAGTTTCATTTTTTTAAAAAGTATATCTTTATTGATTTCAGAGAGAAAAAAAGGAGAGGGAGAGAGATAGAAGCATCAATGATGAGTCATTGATCGGCTGCCTCCTGTATGCCCCCGACTGGGGATCGAGCCCACAACCTGGGCATGTGCCCTGACAGGGATTAGAACTCTGATTGCCTGGATCCTAGGTCGATGCTTGGGCTCTATACTTCCTTTTTAATTTACTTGGTTGGATTCTTAGAGGTTATATTAATTAAAAAGTCACTTAGGTTAAAGAGCTTCGCATTTTTTTAAAATGTATTTTTATTGATTTCAGAGAGAGGAAGGGAGAGGAATGATGATGAAAGAGTCATCATTGATTAGCTTCCTCCTGCACGCCCCCTACTGGGGATGGAGCCCGAAAACCCGGACATGTGCCCTGACCGGGAATTGAACCGTGACCTCCTGGATCCTAGGTCGATGCTCAACCGCTGAGCCACGCCCAGTTGGGCAACAGCTTCACATTTTAATGTGACTAAATTAACATTCTAACAACGAGCTGTGATAAATTTATCTGAGGACACTGAAATTTTGGGTTAGGAGGAGAAAGGAGGGTGAACTTTGGAATTCAGAAAGTCTAAGAGGTGAAAGATGAAAGGTTTCTCAGAAGTCCTCTGGCTCAGCTGCCCACATGACATCTGTTCTACGACAACCAGATATGGCCTTTGAGCCTATATGACTACCATCAGCAAGAGAGGACTTAATGCTGCCGGGGGAATTCATACTCTTTGCAAAGAGCTCTATTATGATAAAAGTCATAAGTAGCAGGGAAAGGATACCTCACTTGTCCTGGGGGTGGTGATGGGCAGGGTAGGCTTCCTGGGGGAAGGAATGCTTTAGCAAAGTCTTAGATGTGCAGTAGTTAGCCAGGTAAAGAAAAGAAATGGTGTTCTCAACTAAGAGAACCACAAATTCAAAGACAGAGCAGCACGAGAAAATGAGGAGCATAGGGTTTGTGAGGAAGTGTGAAAACTATGAATGGAGGAGAGCAAGGATCAGAAGTGATGAGAGGTATGAACTGTAGGCAGAGAAGTACCATGGTTAGATATGAGTGCTGCTCTCTCTGGCAGTATTATTAAAGACAGTTTGGGGAGTCCATGGAGTATGAGACTAGTCAATCCTGAATATTAACACTCAAATGTTCCAGTAAATGCAGATATTAAAAGCAATGATGTCAACAATACTTTTCTTCTTACAGCAAAAGTAGAAAATTTAACTATATAAACGTATTTTTCTTTATAACTAAAATTGTGCTATATATGTTGTCATTCAATCTAGTTTTTTACTTACTATATTCAGTTCTTTGTCTACCACATAACATCTGAAAACATTCCAGATGCAAGTTAGACAACTGATTCAAATGTCTACGTTAAAGAATCTACTTACATCCTTTAGAGTAATAATGTTTGGATGCTGTCCATAACGAAGAAGAATTTCAATTTCTTCTGTTGGGTCTCTCTTGCTTTTATCAATAATCTAAAAGGCAAATATTAATCACAAAATCTCATGAACTTTAGTTATAAACCTTAAATATTTACAGCTACAGACCTTGGGTAGCAGCTGATGTAAACACTGTATACATAAGCCATTTATTAACCAGTTTTATTCAAGTACCTGGCCAGACTGTCTAATGAAAATTCAAAAGCGAGTCTTGATGCAGATGACAAGGCTGTAAAGTAAATTCTATGCCATGAGTCACATTCCACCAGGTCTCTTCAGTTTAAGTTTGTAGTAACTTTAAGACTTACTAAAAACTCAAAAGCCTCAAGAAAAGGTACCAAGAACAGAGTTAACATCTTTCTTTCACCCTTAAGCATCTTAAACTTTTGGGAACCCAGTCAACTTCTAAGCCTTGTCAATACAGATAATTAAGAGTCATATATATATATATATAAAAAATACCACCGTTAGCATCTGTTTATTAAATTAACTTTACTTCCTTTAATAAAATGCTTCAATGGAATATCCCATTGGTTGTAGGCTACGTATAAATATTAACAGTTCAGTAGAACAAGATTATTTCTGAAGCTAGGCAAAAAGCTAAGGAGAAAACCACACCTAGAATTTTACTTGGCTAGAATTAAGTTTAATTATTATAATAAAGCCCTTTAAAATACTAATACAGCTTTCCAACCCTTTTATGTCAGCTGCTTCTTAAAAATACTTCTCTTAATGTTTTAATCTGTTAAAGAAATATTGTATTTAAATAAGGTTTGCTTTCATTTCATCCAAAAGGGAGTCAAAAATAAATTTTGTGACCTTTTTATTTTCAATTTTAAAACAGCTTAGGAGTTAATGTATGCAATAAATACCCAACTGCTCTAGCAACCTAGCTTACAACTCTGAACATGAGCCAAATCTGGTATCTGAAATGGATTTAGTTGTAAAATGGTTCTGTATTTGGAAAACAGGAAAGACAAACATATAGGTGTCCACTGTTAATCAACTGTAAATGACAGTGTGGAAATAGGCAAATGGATGATTAACAGGAAAGGTGGATGGAATAGACATGCTGATTCAAGGGATACGATCTGGGGTTAGTCTTTTGAAAACCAGAACACACTGGAAGTGTTATTTCTGGCAACATTCTGATCTGCTAATCTGAGCCCAGCTGACATCAAATCCATACTTGTGCTTGTGGATCTTAGATTTGTAGCAATTTTAGTAGAAGCAAGTTGTGCTGGGATTGCTTTTATGACTCTAACTTAAGTCACAAGAATCCACAAATAGCTTCAAGATATTCTCAAGGTTTTCGTACACTGCTTCTGGTTTCTGTAATTCAAAGAAGGCCTCAGGACATTTTTTGCCTTTTTCTGATGTGTTTATGAAGGCAAGGTACATCCTTAAACTGCCTACCCAAGTACATTATTCACCTTCTCTCCTTCCATGTAAGCAATATGAAAATTTCTATGTACCCCAGATTTCACTATGAGCAATGGGTAGAAGAGCAGATTAAAATGTATTTCTGGTTTATCTTTATAGCTGACAGAAAGCCTTATGGACACTGATAACTTGTTAAAGCAATTAGATCCAAGTTTAGAATAGTATTAACAATTTTTGTGTCTGCATGTTTTCTCAGATATTTGCTATGCATATGTAAAACACAATCATTTTTATTTTTACATATGAAATCCTACTATATAGTTACATAAATAGATGGACGGATAGAAGTAATCACAATTAATGCCACTTCCCCACTAACTAAATACGAGCTGCCCATACTTACAGACTAGTTCTAAGGTTGCAGGTAAGTTGAAAGCTTTAGACATTACTTGAATTGCATGCAATGGGAGAGCAGAAGCTACCATTCCAAGAAATAAAAAGGCAGAGACTTGATTGTCATATCTGTTCACTTTCAACTAAAGGTTTGCAACTCAAACTTTATCATAGAGCCATGTGTCCTGGTTTCGGCTTAGAAAAATCTTACTGTCTTAGAACACTTGATGAAATTAAAAGAGCTAATGATAATAAATTTAATGACAGTGGTTTTTATTCTTTTATTGGTTCAGAGATCCTTTTAGATATGAAGGACAGTATGAACAATTTTGCTAGAAAAATGTAAACATATCAAATTTGGCATACAATTTTGTGGAATTCCCTGACATCTTGACCATAAAATGGAAGGCTTCTGAGGGTAAAAGATGTGCTACAAAAAATCAGGTCAGGAGTAAACTGGTACTGCCCTGAACAAACTGGATGCATGCTACCTTACCTTTTAAGCTCACTGGGGAATCCATGGTTCCCTGAGGATCACTAGCCAGATATTTAAATTAACTTTACCTTTTTATAACAAAAGGCACATTTACGAAAGAAGAAAAGTGAAAATTTTAACTGGTACTGACATGCATGAATAAAAACTGTAAAAGTTGCATTGTAAATCTAAAAACATTTACCTTCACTGCAAACTCCATGTTTGTGGCTTTATGTATACATCTCTTGCAAACTGAGTAGGAGCCAACTCCAATATCTTCTTTTACTTCATATCCATCAGTAAACTGAATACTGTTCCTGTGCAACTGCTACAAACACAATTATAAATTGACAGAGAGTTCCATAATGACTTTGGTACATTTCATAATAGGGGAATGTATTATTCAACATGCACTGTTGATGTTAACTATAAATGAATATCAGTAAAAATCAAAATCAATCTTTACATGATTTATTCTTCCACAACTGTATATTTTAAAAATGTCTACAATAAAATGTACAGCATGAAATATGCCCTTTAAAACACCTTACGTTAAAAAAGGAAGAAATTTTTACCCTTTGTGACAGTATGGATGGACCTGGAGAACGTTGTGATAAGTGAAATAAGCCAATCAGAGAAAGACAAGCACCATATGATTTCACTCATATGTGGAATTTAATGAACAAACTGAACTACCAAGCAAAATAAAGACAGATTCATAGATAGAGAGCAGGCAAATAGTGCGCGCGCATGTGTGTGTGTGTGTGTGTTGGAGGGTGTGGAGGGATTGAACAAAAGAGAGAGAGAACTCATGGACATGGACAACAGCGTGGTGATTGTGGGGGTGGAAAGGTGAAGGGGGTGGAGGTGGAAGGGGGCATACAGGAGATAAATGATGATGAAAAAAATTAAATTTTCTGACCATAAAGAAATAAAAAAAAATAAAAAAGCTTACGTTAAAATGAAAAAATTAAATGTGTACAACAGAAAACGCAGAACTACTTGATAAGGGGCCGACAGCCTTGTCTGTGACTGACCCCATTCTACTCCCCAGCAGGCTATATGTCTTTGAAGTACCTTTGCAAATAGGGAGAAGTTTGAAACCTCTGTTATAGAAGAAAAGATTTTGCAGGATTCAGAATTAGAACATCTGGATTCCTGCCTCAGATGTATCACTTGTAGGCTGTGTAACCTTGAACTTGTGTTTTCTCAGAGGGTAATGGTGAGGATTAAATAACGTATTTGAATGTGATACCTATTATCGTTTTGGACTATTAATAGCCATGCCTTCCGTTCTCCATCCTCAAGTCACAGTTTTAATACAACTTTTGCTAGAGAAGCCATTAACGGGTTAAGGACTAATAACACAGAGGGTGATGAACAGCAAATTACTGGTTCCATAAACACGCTGAGGGGAGTTGTACTGCCCTGAGCTATAGTGATAGGAGATCCCCTCTGAGCTTTATATAGGTTAAAACTTGAATTCTATAGAATATGTTTGCCATTTCTATGTTAGGTACAGAAGTTATTACTTTAAAATTTACCATACATCACATGGTCGTCACAGTAAGAGACACAGACTATTTCAACATGAACTTTGTTCAAAAACCACTGTTTAAATTGGTTTTCTAGAAAGTGGAAAAAGCAAGATGACTGACTCATAAAAAACACTAGAGCAAAAGCAACTTAATTATCAAGCAAATTCAAGCACTAATTTCACCCTCAAAACAATTCCCTCTACTATTAGGAAGATGAATTAAATTTATCTTTCCATGATACTAGAATGAGAAGAAATAAATCTAATGTTTTGTACCACTTGTGGGCCTCTAGTGACATTTAATTTGCTAGCCCAGTCTCCTATTACAACACACATGTGCACCTAGAAGCCCGCTTCTGTGGTTTTTACCTTTTTCTCCAACTCTGATAAACAGATGGGATGATGAGGTAGGGGGTACCCTTAGGGAATACCGTAACCACTTCTGCCTAATGACAATGGTGTTCCAAACAAACAAGGACGCAAAACTTGGCAAACAAAAAATTTAAGTCCATTTTTATTTCCTATGTTTCTATGGCAAAGGCTCGCAAACTATAACCTGTGGGCCAAATCTGGTTCACTACCAGTTTTTCTAAATAAAGTTTTATTGGCATACAGCCATGTGCATTCATTTTTGTATTGTCTATGGCTGTTTTGTGCTGCAATGGCAGAGCTGAGTCGTTGCACAGAGATCACATAGCCTACAAAGCTTCAAATATTTATCATCTGGCCCTTTACAGAAAAAGTCTGCTGACCCCTCTTTTAATGCATCAGGGAACCAGAAGACTTAAGCTCATAACAGCTGACCTGACAGAGGCACAGGACGAAACAGACTAGGCCTGATGAACATTTTGAGGCACAGGAGAGGGGAGAGACAAGACGGTGATATTTATCTCAACTCAGAATTCTACTTTCAAGTCAGACAGACATTTAGGATTCTGGCGCAAGCAACCTTTTCAAAGGCATACAAAAGAAATTTCTAAGAGTAACATCAATGATAATTATTGATACAATAAACTATATATTACAACACTTCAAACTTAAAATTACTTGGACATTCACTCACCTGAACAATTGAATGCACACCAACTGTCTGCATGGCTTGGCTTTCATCATCTGAGGTAATAGCAACAAAACTAAACCCCCGAAAAAGCTGATGTGCATTAGCACTAGGTGGAATGCCAGGTGAATCTGAAAAGTATAATAAATTACCAAGAAGGTGATTACTTTGAAAGGAAATTAAGGGAAGAATTGTCCACGTTACAGCCTTTCATACTTTTTCTGGAATTCTACGTTTCAGGCACCTAGTACTTCCAGTATAACTCAGTGAGGCACTGTATCAGATCTGTCCTGATGGCTTATTGCCATCACAACTTTAATATCCTAGTCCCTCAGAGCCCAGAAAATAGCTATTCATTTAATGTAATAAATCGATGAATTACTGGGTTAATGCTATTCTAAATTAGCACTGTCCCATAGAATTTACTACAATAATGAAAATTTTCTTTATCCGTGCTGTCCAATATGGTAGCCAGTAGCTACATATGGCTACTTAAATTTAAGTTAATTAAGATTAAAAATGTTGTTTCTCAGTCACACTAACCACATTCCAAATGCTCAGTAGCTGCATGTGGCTAGTTGCTACCATATAGGATGGTGCAGCCCTAAGTGGTAACCTACCAATGCTATGGCTTCTGGATAGGAGGAGATACAAGGTTGATATACAGATAATTTAGGAGAAAAGAATTTAGCTCAGTAGTCTCAGTACATAATGTCAGAATCTAAAATCTAAACTACAAGCTAAAAATTATTATATATTATATATTTAAGGGTCAAAAGTAATTTCTAGGGTAATCATGGTATGTAGTCCTTAAAATATATTGTATGACATGATATGCATTGTTATTAAAATTATTTATTGTAATCTATTGGCATTAACAAAAATCAAAAAATACTTTTACAGTATAGTTAATGTTCATTTTAAAGACAAACAATAAATAGTATGTGTTATTCATAAATATAAACACACAATTAGGCATACTAATATTTATAAACATACTCTAAAGGCTAAGGGCAAGCAAAAAACAAATAGGTAAATCTACTTAAACATCAACTCCATATAAAGCTCTTTTTGAACATCAGCTTGATATTCTCAGCAATATATATTGTTTAGTGTATTTTAAATCAATGTAACAGTATTGTACTGAAGATTTCTGCTAAGAGAACCTGTCTAAGCAGAATACAATATACAACTGCTCTGTTCTGAGATTTTTCCTCTACCAGAACAAATTGTATTGAGAAAACAAAGTAGAACACCACCATATATCATTAATTCTATGCATATCATTGTCCATGTATTTGCTAAAATTTTGTTCATATATTAACCCAAATTTCTAAGACTGTCTTATAAAAATAATAAACACCCATCAATGCTCAATATAGATTATGAAGATTTTGGCTAGAAAGCTTTATACTAAAGTTTGAGTGATATACTCTATGGAAAATATATGTAAGTACACTTTCAATTTATTTCCTTGTCAGTGATAATCCTGGGGTCTGGTATACCTAAGTGAGAGAATATTAGAGTGTAAAACACACCATTATGTATACACATATGCTAATTAATGAAATACAGATTATCACTTCAAAGATTACTTCTCTATAACAGTCACTGCTTATGTAATTTTAGAATAAAGTATGAATCAGGTGATTTATTTTGAAGTTTAATCAAATCCTTGTATAAAGTTTAAGCTATGTTTGAGATTTGAAACTTTACAAGTACTTCCAGAATACTTCAGAGTTTTAAAGAAAACTATTTACACTAAAGAGTATTTCACGTAAAAATAGCTACAGGTAAATAAACAGACAACAAATAGTTTTTCCACATAAACAGAATCAAAGTTTAAGGCACAATATAATTTGCTAAAAGATTTAACAAGGATCTTAATTGCTATAAAATACTGTAAAGGATTTATTACTTATCTAGTTATTGTGGCAGGGATAGGGTATGAAGGAGAGATATGAGGACAGCACAAAAAATTAAACTGGATGCTCAGCAGTTGAGCATCTATCTATGATCCAGGAAATCACAGATCGATTCCCGGTGAGGGCACATGCCTGGGTATCAGGCTCAATCCCCAGCAGGGGGCGTGCAGGAGGCAGCCAATCAATGATTCTCTATCATCATTGATGTTTCTCTCTCTCTCCCTCTCCCTTCCTCTCTCTCTGAAATCAATAAAAATATATTTAAAAAAATTAAACTGGAAAAGATTTTCTGATTGAACAAGAAAAATACTGTCTTGTATTTGGGTTTTCATGTTTTCTTCTTACCTTTGGGAGTTTTTGCAGTGAACTCAGGATCAAAATAGAATGTATCTTCAGGCCTGCCAGTTGCAGGTTTAAAAGGTGGATGAATTTCTCTTCTGTATAGTTTCTGGAGGAAAAAAGAGAGACTTAAGACATGTGTTAATTATAAAAAAAATTTAAGCAAGCTTTCATTCTATACTTACATTCCAATCTATTGTTGAGAAAAATAAATGTCTTTTAATTTCTTCAACTCCATCTGGTCCTGCGCCTATCAAAAATTAACCAGTTTTGATTAAATGGTAATTTTATTTCAAGGAGGAATATATAGTTTATTTAGCTTTCACTTTTAATATTTGTCCTAATAGTTTATAATCCCACAACAAAAACAAATATCTACCCTCACCCCCTCCAAAACCAAATTGCAACAAACACAAAAGAAACAAAATAAAAATTTTACCTAATCTGTTTGCAGGATTTCGTTTGAAAAGCATTCGTAAAAGACTCTGGGCTTCAGGACTCAAAAACTGTGGCATCCCAAGTTTAGCTCTAAATAATAAATACACATAATAACATTTTATATTTTGGAGGTATCTGTATTTTATTTTTAAATTTTTGAAATTAAACATTTTAAGATAATTGTGGATTCATATTCACTTGTAGAAATAATAGAGATCCTGTGTACTCTTTACCCAGTTTTCCCCAGAAGTAACATCTTACAAAACTATATAGTACACTCTCACAACCAGGATATTGACATTGGTACAATCCACTGATCTTTCAGATGTTTCCAGTTTTACTTGCATTTTGTGTGTGTGTGTGTGTTTAGTTCTATCACATGTGTAGGTTCTTGTACCCACTACCACAGTAAAGATACTGAATGGTTCATCCCCAGCAGGATCCCTCACGATGCCCCTTCAAAACCACACCCACCTTCTTCCCTCCCCAAATCCTAACTACTGGCAACCACCAAGATATTCTCTATTTCTATAATTTTGTCACTTTAAGAATATTATGTAAATGAAATCATACAGTAGGTAACCTTTTTCCCCCCCTCAGGATGAATTCTCTTGAGATTTATCCAAGTTATTGTATGTGTCAATAGTTCATTCCTTTTTATTGCTAAGTTGTAGTATTCCATGGCTGAATGGACCACAGTTTGTGTATCCATTTACCTGTTAAAGGATATCTGGATTGGGTCCAGTTTTTGGCTACTACCAATAAAGCTGCTAAGAATGTTTGTGTATAGGTTTTGGTGTGAACACATAATAATTTTAGTCTACAATGTCCTAATGAACGTTTTCATTTTCAGAATTTTGCAAAAAGCACTACTGTAAGAGTAAGATCATCTGAGTCTTAGTTCTGGCTCTTCTACTAAGAACTTTGTGACCTTGGGAAAGCCAATCCCTTTGGGCCTGTTACTACTTCTTTATAAGCAAGGGAATGGGACATTAGATCAACGGTTCTCAAACTATAGTCTTGGAACCCTTTTTCAAAAGGAATTTTAAGAAATCCAATATTTAAAACTGCTAAAAGAATATGTGCTTCATATGTTTATTTTCCCCTCCCATTCCCTTTAATAGTCCTACAGGGAAGAGGAGTTGGTGGGAAAGGGGTCTGTGGAATATCTAAGAGTTTGTGGCACACAGTCTGAAAACCACTGGCCTGGATGAGCTTGAAGGTCTGTTTCAACTCTAATATATAATTTTATTCTTTTTCTCCAACCTACAAATTACAGAAACCAACGATCCTATAAGTATGAAAATAGTAACAGAGCTGGGGAAAATGGCTAGCAGAGAAATTTCTATTTCAGAAATAGATCCATTTATTATTCAGTGTGTTGTTATTGAGCTACTATGTGTTAGACACTGCTTAGTGCTGAGGATACAGAGATAAGACAGCCCCCAACAGTCAGTGGGGAAGACGGATATAGATAATCCTGGTACATTAAAGAATGCTAAGGGAACAGTAGGGGATATCTAATTTAGCACAGGAGATTATGGAAGGCCTTCTGTGCAATTTAAAGGCTGAGAATTTATTCATTTGGCCAGTGTTTCCCTCAAATTTTACCGAATAATATTAATCTCTCTAGCTAACAACAAAAAATTTTCATGATCCAATGAGTTGTGGAATGCTATTATACCCCTCTGCTGAAGACATAGAATTAAATACATTGCATACAAAAAGCTGAGACATCTAGAGTTAAAAAATCAGTATTTTTCTAAACATTTGTTTCCAACACCTCTTTCTCTAAGAATACCTATTAACATCTTGTAGAATTAGGGTTCTGTTGAACAAACCTGGGGAAACACTTCCATGTTAGGTAACAGGGATACAGCAGAGGTCTTTATAAACACTTGACTAACATGACCAGATTTATTTTCAAGAATTAACTCCAAGGGTAGTATAAAACGATCTGGAGTGGGAAGTGTTGGTAGCTAATAGGCATTCTACTTAGGAGCTTGTCCCAGCAGTGTGGGTAGGAGATCACCATGGTCTGAGAACTGTAAGCAGGTCAATGCAGAGGAAAGGCTGGGACACTAAAATATCACTGAGAGCAAATTTGGTGAATACCTGTATATGCAAAAGAGAGGAATAAAAAATGATTTCCAGGTTTCTGGCTGCATGGAAATGCTACTAGCTGAGGATATAAGGGGAAAAGTATAGCAAATAGAGATAAAAATGTTAAGTCATGCATGTCATATGTTTTGGGAGAACTAGGCAAGTGAGTAAACGGAAACATAGGTCTGCTGTCTGGTAAGTTAAGAGCGATTTGGGAGTAATTAAAATGGTGATAGTAGTTATAAGAAAGACTGAGGTCAGCCAGGAAAGTGAGCAAACTGAGGAAGAAAAGGATATTAGAGATGGAACTCTGGGTAACAAGAAAATTTAAAAGGTGAGCCCGGCTGGACGTGGCTCAGTGGTTGAGCATCGACCTAGGATCCAGGAGATTGTGGTTCGATTCCCGGTCAGGACACATGCCCGGGTTGCGGGCTCAGTCCCCAGTGTGGGGCGTGCAGGAGGCAGCCAATTAATGACTCTCATCATTGATGTTTCTATCTCTCCCTTCCCTTCTCTGAAATCAATAAAGACATATTTAAAAAAAAGGTGATGAGAATAAGGACAATTTGGGCATTAAAAATAATGAATGCAAATGGCTGAATCACACTCATTATTAAATCCCACAAGTTCATTATAGGAAAAAAAGGGAAGTCAAAACTAACATAAAAACCCAACTCATTGGACACCACCTCCACTGAAGGTAACTAGGGCTCTGACAACTGGAAATAATTAAGAATAGAATTCAGCATTTATTCTGCCTTTCTTGTTTGAGCCTTATTTAAAGCTAACTAAATAGCCCTGGTCGATGAGGGAAAGTTCACTGTTTCAAAAACAGAAACCCAGCTAATAAATGAAAGAATGATAGTAATAGAAAACCACCATTTTTGAATCCCTAGTAAAACAATAGTTTCAAGTAATGATTATCAACAGATGAAACCGATAGATGAAAGCCTGACAGGGAACTTTATAATGGAGGAATCAGTTGTAACCACGGGAACTCATCACTTAAAGTAGAACAACCAGGTGTTGTAAGCCTCTTGATGTGATGCAACAGCTATAAAATAATCTTGCCAAAAAAGTTTAACCAGAAACAGGGATAAAGGAACAATTAAATGACATCACAAGGAGAATAAAAATATTTGCATACTCCTAGAAAAAGACTAATTGTTATGTAACCATGGTAACAATAGAGCCACCAGAACTGGTTTTAAATCCATCCAATTGATCAAAGACAACTTGCCTAGGTGTACATAGTTGTTGTTTTTGCAAACCAATCAGTAACTGCTCTCTGTGAAAATTAGCCAAACAAGAATGGGCTGCCTCCACTAACCACACCTGAATGCCAACTAATCAACAACAGTTCCGCCCAAGTAACCACACTGTTAAGAGATGATGTCAACCCACTTATGGCCCTGAAAAGCTGCCACTTCTTAACTCCACCCTTCCCCAAAACCCTACATAAGAACAGTGGTCTACTCAGCTTGGAGAGACTACTGGTCTAACATTGCTCTCCCTTACTACAGTAAACAACAGGATCAGCTTTATGTTTTTTGTTTCAGGTATTGAGAGGTGGTCTCATTTTTTCACAAGATAAATTCAGAAAGTAGAATTCTAAACTGATTGGCTTGGTTTCTACAAGTAAATGGCAGGGGAAAAAGAGGGGTAGACTGTTTTAAATAAACAGCAGCTTAAGAAATACAACCAAATGAGACGAGCAGACTTAATTTGGGACTATAAAAACACCATTTTGGAGAATATCCGAAAAATATGGTTAAAGATTGTTACTAGATGATACCTAAGCATTATTACTAGTTTTGTTAGATGTGGTTATATAAGAAAATATCCACACTTTTTAGTGGTGCAAACTGAAGTAGGTGAGAAATGACATGTTTGGAATACTTAAAATATTTCAGTAAATTAGAAAAAAAAAGAATAAATGAAGCAAATGTGGCAAAATCTTGATGACTATTGAATCTGGGTGACTGGTATATGTGTGTTCACTGTATTATTCTATTTCTGCAAATTTATGTTTGAAATTTTTCATAATTAAAAAGAGAAAAGCAGGCAGACAAGGAATGGTCAAGCAAGAGCCCGAAAGAGGAATGGTTAGAGGTAGGAGAAGCCAGTAGCAGCAGGGACAAACTAAGGGGGGAGGGAGTGGCCAACAGTGTCAAATACTTCTCAGAGATCTTTCTTAACTGTCCCATCTAAAACGGATCCTGCCCCTGCCCTCACACTTCAAGAGTATCCTGGTTTATTATCCCTATTGTTACTATTACTAACTGAAATTATTATATTTATTTGTTTAGATATTAATTCCTGTCTCTCCCAGTTGAATGAAAGCTCTGTGAGTCCACAGAAGACCTTGTCAGTCTTGTTCACACTGCATCCTAAGTACCCGTAGCAAGACCTCAATCACCTGTTGAATAAATGGTGTGAACAAATGGTAGAGAGTCACCTTTCTAACAATCTGCGAATGGTTTAAGCAACCAGATCACTGATGACAATAGTGAGAGGAGTTTCAATAGAGTGGTGGAAAGGAATGACGAACAGACTATGGAACAAAAGCAGCCCAAAAATGGTAACAGAAAGACTACTCTTTAAAGAGGCTTTGTGTTGAAAAGATGGAGGAAGATGGTGCAGAAACTTGGAAGGCAAGGTAGGTCAAAAAAAGTTGTTTTTCTTTTCCAACACTAGAGTGTATTTGTTAGCAGAAAGAAAAAGGCCAGAGTACATGGACTGAAGTTCAGTGAACATTCATTCCTACAATGAACATCTTTTAACCTTTATTATTGTAAAGAAAAACATGGAGTGCAAAAAAAAAAAAAAAAAAAAAAAAAAAACCAACCCA